TTCGACACACTCCCCCGTAAACCCTCGTTTCTCATGTAGTAGGGCAGCGGTCGCCGCTGTGTTTCGTATTGAGACATTTATTATTGTGTGACCCAGATTGAGCTATGTTTCTTTACCCTATTGTCTTACTTTTCGTGAAAAAGTGAGCCTCAATTTCTTCACAAAATATTTCCTAACTGCGGGCGCCAACTATATGTAGCCGTGTGAGTCCCCATACTATGCTTCAAGGCATTTCACTACGGCGTGCGACTTTATCTGCTGCAGTTTGTCTTTTTGTTTTATTTTTCTCCCATCATTGGACTCTGTCGTCTGCCCCTCTGGCCCCTATCCTCCACTTCTACTATTAGCTAGACGACCCAACCGGGGTCACTGTAGTGTGTGCTCCGTAATATTGTTCTTGAGAGGTCTACGTTCTTGGATTTTTTCTAGTCCGTGAAATACTTCTGGTCTGCTGGTCCCGGTCCCTGCTGTGTAAATCTATTCGGCTCGCTCGCTCCAAGGAAACTCCGTGTCGAGCAACTCGCAGAGTTGCTCACTGACACCACCCACAAAGAAGTAGCGGTAACCACTCTGCGTCCAGTCGCGGTGCTCAAGTCTGGTGTTTTGAGCAGTTCGATAGCCACATTGATTCAGACGATCCTACTGCTGTGCCCGGAAAAAAATCGCCTGCTGCTGCTCTAGACTACGTAAGTCGAGTTCCTGCCTCCTCCACCAGCTCGGCTCCCTGATCCTCTCCTTCCCACTCCCTTCTGCACGCAAGCGCTTGATGCCATCGACTCTTCACACGTTCCATGCACGGTATGATTCGCCACCTGCCGCGACAGCGGATATATATTTTATCCATCCGCATCGGGAAGTCTGCTTCCGCTCGGGGACGGGTAAATCTTACGGGTTGTACAAAACAGCAAACAATGTAACATTGTAGATTTCAAAATGAGCGAGAAACAGCCACACAAATCTACAGTACAACTCCACTGTTGAAATTTTAAAAAATCATTATTTTTTGTGGTGCGTGTACATGTACAACAGTCCTACAGCTGTACGTACTGTAGTCTTCAAGTGGCCTACTTTCTACAAACAGCAAGTTGTCAAACGACACTGCGCCATTCCTCTGAAGGCAACATTCCACATATAATCAAGCATGTATCCGCCAATACAGATGCTGTTGTTCTTAGCTCCAAGTGGCATCACTAATTAATCAGTGTTAGGCTTACACAAACTCAAAATATGCCAAGTCTCCAGTTGGTTTCACTACACTTTCTGAAAAGACTTTACCACATCCCTTTCGACTGAGGTTATATTTCGAACGGGTAGTCTTTCTGTGAGGTTATGTTTACTTTCTAAAAACAGCAGCACCAAACCTTTACCTCATCAACCTGCTACCTACTGCTAAACTCCGATACATGTAGGTTGGTGAAGTCAAACACTAACTGTAGCTTGCTAGAAATTTGCTTTGACTGTCGTTAGGAGGAACCACATCTATCGGGATAATCCGTGGCTAGGTATAAGGAGCTGTGTTGCGTGAATTTTTGGACAACATGAACATTCTGCTTTGGTATTTGGAGGTAGACATGTGCATGGTTATTTGGCGCAATTAAATGCTATGAAGTGATGCCAGGCAAGGTTTTTGGGCTTTATGCCGAGGCATGTGCCCTGGTCAGTGTGTGTGCGTGCGATCGGGTTTGGTCGTTTGCAATGATAGAGATCTATGTGCGTTGGCTTGTCTACGCAGATAACGGGAAAGCACTAATAATCAAGAGAACAAAGGAAAGCAACACCGACCCGTATCTGTGGTCGGACAACAGAGTTCACTTGAGAATGGTGATTGATTCTAAAGGAAGGGGTCGAATCTCATTGCCAATCGTGCAACTGTGAATGAGTGTGTATCAGCGTGGAGAGTATTTACAGGTGGTGGGCAGACTACTGCTGTAGTGTAAGTGGCTACATTGCAGCTGTTTATTGCGTCCGTCATGTATACATAGATCCGTATCACCAAATTCAGCCCTATGTTCTTGTTGGGCTATTTAGCCATCCCCTCTGTTCTGGGCGTCGGATGGCACTTATTTGTATGGCCGCGCGGGGACAGCGTGCTACCTTGTGGGACCCCCTGCTCAATGTCGAAGAATTTAGACAGTTCTCCGTCTAGCATGACCGTGTGTTTTGCACACTCTGTCATCTTCAACACCCTCCACATTTTCGCCTTGATACCCGTAGTTGGACAGTTGTGTCCACAGCCCATGTCTCCATACGGTGTCGTATGCCTTTTTCACGTTTAGGAAGAAGCAGTACGTCGGCTTTCCCGCCCTCTTTCTACCTTGAATGATTCTCCCTACCGTGAATACGTGACCTACACACCCCATCTTCTTTCCGAAACCTGCCTGGCCCTCACTAATGCTATGGTGCAGCGTTGGGGGGGGGGAGAATTGGCTAATAGAAACATGTACACTATATTATAGCGCTATTTCCAAAACCGAAATCGAAGCGAGAGAAACTCTCACATAATGAATGCCCTCAAGAATTATTATTGTTGTTTTGTTCAACCATCGTCGAACTCCCTGAGAAAAGTTGCAACAACTCGTATGCAGAGGGAACTGGCGGCTTGGCCCTTTACGCGATAATAAATTTCAGCAAGCACCGCCGCCTACTTGCGGAATGCTTGTAAGTATCAAAGTTGCCGATGCAGGACCATTGAAAAAAATCAGGATTTGCTCGAAGGATGGCGAACAAGCGACAAAGATCCCCTTCTTAGACTGACTATGCCGTGAATTCCTCCTCCGACGATAGGTATCAAGTCAACCTACACTTTGTTTGAGAATGCGGGTGTCTGGAGGGCTGCTGGCAACATTGGTCACCGTCGCGAGTACCTCGTCGAGGCTGGACGTGATCGATTTGCCAACGGGATTCTCTCCGGAAGGCACTACCAGCGGCGGAGGATGAGTGTCGCGTTGTTGTTGTACTTGGCGCGCTTTAATCCTTTCCGATCGGCTTCTTCTTCTCTTGCTCGACTACGTGCGGACTACACACAGCAAAAGCTCATGAAGGTAGTCTACACCCGGCAAGTATGCGGCCATGTAGTTTCTTCCGATTCGCCGTGGAGTTCCAGTCACCTAATTCTCTGTTCAGTCGAGAACGACAAGTGGACAATTTCGCACATCCGCCGAAAGAATGATTGATTTTCGTTCGCTTGGTCTTTTCCGCCATTGTAGTTAAAATGGACTGGGACGGGCCAATATTTTCCCGAATATCTCGCGTGCCCTCAAACTTCCATCTCGTTTGTATGCAGACTTGAGAAAAACGTAGCCTTTTTATAACAGCGCTTCCGTTCGTGCTCCAGAGGGAAACAACTGGAAGGACGACCTCAAGACCGGCGAGGGCGGAGTGATGGAGCTTGATGCCCCGGGCCCCGCCGCAGGCCTGAGTCACGACCGCCGATCCGGCTACCTCTTCGTCGCTGGGGCATTCAGCGGTGCGCACCAACACACCTGACTTGCACGAATCACAGGTGGACTAGATCTGGTAGTCGAACGGTTTGGTTTTTGGTTGATCGATTGACGATGATCGTTGATCTGCGTCTTGTAGGGCCTTATTCATGGACTCATGGGTCCATGGCATCTGCACTTTTCAAACGATGAAAGCACCATAGAACGAGGGTTCAGAGAACGATCTTCTTCGCGGCATTCCTCCTACGTGTGAGCCTTATGGTGTAGACACGGATGTTCAAGTCAAGTGAGACGATTCACGCAGCATGCACGCACAAATGCACACACAGGCGTGAATCGATGCGGTACGATCAACAGTACGTGGGATTGATGCAGCCGTCCATTTTTTTGTGATTGACGCGACGGTACGAAAACAGGAAGGAATCCAGTTGTGAAACTCAAGAAGGCGGCTCGGCATCACTCCTTTGCCTGTAGCTTGTTTGCGCTTTGTTTCGAAATGTCCTCATCGGATTGATTCGTTCGCAGACACTAGACTATACTGCTTGGCGTTTTTGGTGCAATAACATCTCTACCGTCTTGGGCTGATTCGGTCGCTTTTCCTTGAGAGCCACGAAACTAAACGTCCCAATGGCATAGCCTGTGTAGGAAGACGGGATTCTTTGAAACAAGCTCAAGTTACACGGAAATCGTGAGAGTTGCACGAACGTTGACGTTTTCTACAGCCCACCCCACTGGTTCCGATGTCGAATGCCCACCGAAGGTGAGCAGAATGTTCCCATCTCCAACATTTCAAAAATGCTTCACCTTCACGTCTTTCCCTTATCGCTCTTCCGAATCTCGTGGTCCTGCAAACGCACACGGTTAATTTGCATATCAGGCACGGGACGCGTGTACGATGAAGACTTCGCTTTGGTTGCCGATCTGGCCTTTGGTGACGTGGGCACGTCGATGATAAACGACGTTGTCGTCACGAAGACCGCCGCGTTCTACACGGACTCGATTCACCCTCACATCAACAAGGTGCGGGAGTTGGCCTTGCCAATCATTCTTTGTCCGAGACAATCTAGAGACTCACACATGGTGACCGTCAGTTGGATCGCTAACGTCCCGTTTTCCTGCTAACCGAGCGCGTAGAGAATCCATCGTCGCCACATTTCGAGGATTATATCTCAACAGGAATCCTTCTGACGATGCGATGTGAGCTGCGTTGTGAATAGTTCATACCAAACACAGTTTGTGTTGTATTTTCAGTTATTGTGGTGGAGTATTGGCTTGCGAGTACATCGTTCACGATTCCGCCATGTTGTTCATGAGCGTGGATTTAGAGGTAGGGCCCTGTTGTTCTCCGACTTCCCCATCTGCTTGCGGTGCTGGCCTCCACCAAGCAACGTAGGGGTGTCTGCATCACCTGCTTCACATCATGGTGGTCTAAGTTGTTCCGCGACTCTCCGATCGGTCAAGACCGACCCCGTACGTTCCTGGGCATAACGGTTGGCCCAAACTGCAAGTCCCTGGCGATGATGGTAACCACACCCCAGCCTCTTTGAACCCACCTGGTCGTTCAATATTTTTTCGCTTGTTATTGTTGTCTTTCGACGTGGTTTGTGACTCAGAGCAGGCTGGGTCACCATCCATCCTACTGTCTGCTTTGCCTGTTTTCTGCAATAGTTTCTATCACCGTGTCTCGCCTCTCGTCTTTGCATGGGAATCGCGTGGGGATGTTCACATTTATTGTGACGGCTCGGTCCCTGTTCCTGCTAGAGTTGTCTGTTTCCTGCTTCGTGTGCCTTCTTGGGTCCAGGTTACCGCGCGGTTTGTCTGCAACTGGTTCGGCCAGCGGCAGTCTCTCATGGTACTGCAGTAGAGCCGCTACATGTTCAAGGTAGCCGAATGAGTTACTGGTTGGTTCACACAGGTGAACCTCGACATGGAGACTGGTGCGTTGGTGGATGGGTCGTCCTGCTGACGCTCGTCCTTAGCGACAGCTGTCCCTTCGCAACAGAAGAGATCAACTTCAACGGCATCGAGGCAAGCAAAATATTGCAATTGGTCTTGTGTGTTGATAGATCCGACCCGGCACGATGTTTTCCAATCTCACGTGCAGTTGACGCGCGGCGCAATCTACGCATGCAAAGGTATCTCCACGCTTTGACACGGCCTTCCCCCACCGAACCAAGAGCAATCACCACGTACACCGAGGTTGATTCGAGATCCATTGTTATTCTTTCGCCCAGCCACAAGGCAAATAGCAGGTGTGCCGCAGAGAGAAGCACGCATGCTCGATGACCTCCCTAGGGTCGCCTCATCAACACCCTCGAAACCTTGCATTGCTATCGACTTATGCGTCCATCGTTACCGACGGATTTAGGGAGGCGAAGACGTGCAGAGCACAGCAGTAGCTATATACCACGATAGCTCCCCGTTTTCCTTGTAGCGGAATCTAACTACTGTAATATGGTCGTGCTTAGAGCTAGTGTTCTAGTGGAAGGTCTGGTTGCATTGGGAGTCCTAACAAATATTTGGCGATGTGCCCCATTTTCAATATATGGTATCTACGACCGGCACGCGAATAAACATTAACAGAGAGGAGGTATTACGTTTGAGAAGCGACCCACTACGAGCGTTTCTATTGGTGACGGGGGTAGAGACAGGGACCTCTTTTCCACCACGCCTCCTCGAAGTGTGCGACATGACACGGGCAGTTACACCGACAATTCGAGTGATCCCAACCATCAAAAGAGGAATAGCAGGGTACCCCATCCTTATCAAGCTGCAACATTCCGCGGGGGCACACATGAACCTGATTATGGAATGTCCTTCAAGCCTTTCCCGTGCTTTCTTACGTAACTGTGTCTCAGGTCACAGACAACGACAGTCCTCTGATCGTTGTCAACAGCGAATCCCAGCAGGTTTACGCCGTTGACCCTGACACCGGCGACGCAACTGTGGTCGACCTCGGCGGCGACGTCCTTGGGCCGCGCGGCGATGGGCTGGTACGGGGATCATATTTTTTTGGCCTTTGATGTGTCTGGATATTGTGGCTATGAAAACAAATCATGCTGAACGTCCAAGCAGGCGCCCACCGCTTGTACCATAAGTTAACGCGGTCAGCCCCACAGAAATTGTTCGGGTTGGTGCTCCGTCTCGCTTCGCCCAGTTGATGCACCTTCTTGCTAGCGACTGACTGATGAAGGTGCTGCGCAAGGACACACTGGTCTCCGACAACGTTCTCGAGAAGATTTATGAGGTAAGGTTTCGAGATGCCGAGATATTTACCTAGTAAATCCACTTTAGGTTTAATGGCAATACTCAAGCATTCGTGGTGACGCGTCGAAGCATCTGACTCTAGATATAAATTGAGTTAAATTCTCAACCATAATCGCGAGAGGGCGATTTCTTATCGCGGACAATACACTTCACATAACAGAAGCTTCTTTCTACAAATCATTCAGCTAACCTAGTTTCGTACTTCGAGATAAAGTTTGACGAACTCCCGCCCTTGGACGACGTTGACCGTATAACCCGGCGTTGTCCACAACATTTCGAAACTCAATGGCTTGGATTTAGTCCCCCCTCGTTCATGGGATTGTTACTGTTATTGTTGTTGTTGTTGTTGTTGTTGTTGTTGTTGTTGTTGTTGTTGTTGTTGTTGTTGTTGTTGTTGTTGTTGTTGTTGTTGTTGTCGTTGTTGTTGTCGTTGTTGTTGTCGTTGTTAAATTGCACCGAAGTGCCGGTTGGAGTAACTCGGTTTCGCCCTAGTTCCCTCATACGTTGTTGCTCGTTCGTGTTGGCGTCGAAGCGTCTAACGCACGGGAGCAGGCGACGTGAAAAAAGGGGGGAAACAATGTTACACGTGTGCTGGGGCTAGTTGAAGGCGTGAGTGTGAGCGTTCAAGGGGCATGATAGTTGAACTCAAGGAACATAGAGTCACTTTCATATAGCTCCTCTACATATCTTCCGCGGCTAACGGTCAAGGAGCATATCCTAGGCATACCCACGACGATTCCAGATGCCTTCGTCAGTCAAGATGCAGGTTCAGGTGACATTTCCCAAAAACCCAATTCAGACAAAGGATCTTCAATCCATGTGGATATATCTTGATTGTGGCAGATTCTCTGTGGAATACCCAACCGAGAAAGCCGCCCCCGACGTTGCAATAGGGCAACACTACGCTAACTGTGCAAGCTCACCCGACCAAGAAATCGATTCCCTCTCCTTCCCTCATCGTTGCCTCGTCGTTACCTCGTTGCTGGTTCCCTGGGGGGGGGTGTCTAAACAGGTGTCTCTCTCGGCTGACCTGTCCTGCGGGTCGGTGGCGACCCGTACGCTATCGAACCCCCTCTTCGACCGCCAGACCACGGCGATGCCCAAGGGAAACTCTATGTATGCTGTGAACGCCAATCTCGACGTGGCCGAAGAGGTCATAACAACCACGGCGTATGAGATTGTCCGTGTCCACCGAGACGGCGGAGAACTGGCGTGCGAAGAATGATTGATGATGTTTCACCTTCCTTTGAGCCTCGAACGAGAAATGGTGATCTATGTGTTTTGGTTTTTTGTTCTCAACAAAGCTTCAGGTGAAGATAGGTGGGAGGCTTTGTATTGCCGTTACCCCTGACGTGCTTCCCCGAGATGTGTGTGTCAAAATATTTCGGTAAAGCGGCTGTAGCGCTACAATGAAGTCGACGACAAATATTCAAGAAGATGGACCAATGGACGGAAAAAATTACATCGATGGCTGGATAGCCAATAAGTTGTACACCTCTCAGCACTTTTGGCCACGTAACCACCCATACATATTGCCTTGCCCGTCAATATTGCGGTCAAGCAATCTGGGGTCCTACCATGTTCCACAGCGAATGTTAGCCATGTGCAAATGTTGGTTCGTTCTTGGTGATAGGAAGGCTCTTCCTTCGCTATTGATTTCACGTGAGATTAAAGTAGCTGAGAGGCTAGACGTTACACTGCATAAGTTTACAGGTGTTTGATGTTACAGTTTCCAACATAGTTGGTCGTGAGTTGGCCCAGGTGTCGATACTGTTATATTCTTTTTCCATCTTCACTCCACTGCCGGGCGAAATACGATAAGGTCGATTTTTGCCAGCCAACGACCTCGCCTTGCCTCGATGATCAGATCCGGAGATACTTTTACCCTTTCCTCAACTATGGAACTTTGTCGTTCTACCTACACAAACTCGATGGATGCTGAACTCCATTTTGCGGCTCGCCGCGTAGACCTTAATTCTGCGGCTGCGCATCAGCGTGTACGGTGTACTGTACGCCGTCCAGCTCATCTTCCCTTCTCTTTTCCACCTACTCACCGTGCCGGCATTTTGTGCGGCCACAATACTCCAACAGATGCTGCCGCATTTTGCTTGCTATGAGCGAGCGCCCAGGGTCAGCAGCCAGCAGCGGTAGGAGCGTGCACGCGCCGCTTGTTCTCGAAGGTGGCGACGTGGTATACAACTGTTGGGAACGGCTGTTGCTGAACCAAATAGAAGTACCGAACTGCTGGCGGCGAAATTGTGGTGTCCCGAGGAGGAACAAACAAGGCGGAAACAAAGTACACGTGCCGATTCGGCCCGCATATACAGCGATGCGGCGATATCGCCGACATCACCCAGCAGCCAGGCCCCCTCACCTCCTCTACTTCTCGTTCCAGTCGTGGGGTTCTCGAAGGCTTCACCTGTTGATCGGGAGATGATGCGGACAGTGAGATCCTCACATACCGGATTCGTCCCGCCACGACGGACGCATCCGTGTTTCTGCATTGGATGCATGGTCTACACCTTTATATGCTTATGCGTTGCGCTGTCTTTTGCTATCATGCTTGGCGAGGGGATCTCGGAAGACTACGGCGACAACCATTTGGTTTCCTCGGCGCCAAGGTAGGGCTCATACCGCGTGGGTAATAAGGGGGTGGTGGCTGTACTTGTGGAAGTGAAAATTGGAATCGTTGCGTAGCATGGCGATTGACTTTTGAATGGCACGTGCGGGTCTGTGGTCTTGTATGCTCTCCAGCGGGATTTGCACACGTGGTTGATGCAGACTTCGTGATGCAGCTACATTGTACAGAGGTGGGGGTACCTTTAATATGGGTGCTGCTGTAGAGAACGTCCGTCTGTTCGAAATTTTCCGCCCCAGCCACATACAAACTCTGGCAATCCGATGGCCGACACAACTGCGATCAAAACCATGGAATGTGTGCATTGACTCTGTTGCGTTCTTCCTTAGACTACTCAATCAAGCCGGCTGCCAAACTGCGAACATTAATCTTGGCCTACTTCTCTCCCTCACGATGGATCTGTTTGCAGTCTCCGCGACGCGGGGCTGCAGCGCACGGCCTTGCGATCCAAAATCAATTCCACTCGCTGACGACACTGGTGGGGAACACGGGTAGTGAGAAAACAGACAAACTTCAGCTTCAAGCGCCTCCTGGCAAGCCGAAAAAATCCCAAGAGTTGCAGGCATTGCGGAGTACGACGAAACAGCAGACCAAACACAGGAATGAGACGTTCTAGTGTCGCGACTCCCTCATGTGATGCCACTTTGGTTTAAGATTGTAAGTTCCCAGCGATTTTCACAATGTTGACAAGAGAGCAGAGCGTGTGTGATGTCTATCAATATAGAGACACGAGTGCTCCTTGCTGCCTGTTCCGAATTTTCATGGAAATATTGTCTGATTTCTTCGAAGTTCTGCAGACATCCCGTGAGAACCAGCATCTCAACGTCGGGGGTACTTGTTTGAATCGCGTCGCTGCACAAACATCTGTTCCTCTTGACCATGTTCCTTAAGGTACAACTCAGGTCATGAGACGTACACCACGAGCTGCAAGCATCCATGCTGCCATGTGCGAATTTGCACACAGTGATCCTTACCCTTCATCAGCGTGACGCTCTTGAGCGGCTTGACCACCGCAAGATGCTTGGCACACCTCAAACAATAGCTCAGGTCATCATTCTTTCGTGGAAGGGTATTGCCAATTGCCAAAAAACTGTCTACTCATTGGGTTGACTGCCACATTTCTTGGCGGCTCTTTGAAAGTTGCAATGGATCTGAGAGTCGCATCTCACTATAATCACCAGCTTGTAATAGCCCTTGCGAATCTTGTCTTTTTCAAGCCTTCCGTCGTCCTAGTGGAAATCATGATGTATGATCTAAAAGCGCAATTCACCAGAGACCATCTCGACCGTCGACGCTCGAGCAATACTACAACGCCCTCGACAGATTCACCGAGATGGCCTAACAATGAGGCCCGCAATAAAAAAGTTTTGTCTCGCGTGGTTCTAAGCTACGACGAAGCGGCGAGATTGGCTGGCTACTTTGACAGCGACGGGGTGTATCAAGGCGGCCTAGCACAATGGGACGACTGGTCGGAGGACTCGTATACCTGCGAAAGCGTCTCGGGCAATGGGAAATATTGCCAAAGATGGGGAACGGAGAGGTAGGCATCCGTCGCACGGTGAATTCATCCATGGCCAACGATGAAACAACCTGCCACATTCTGAAAAAGCGTCCCATATTAACGCACATTGTTGTTGGTTGTTGTTGTGGTTGTTTCCGGTATTTTTGCCTCATCGAAGCCCAATCGTGCAAGAACAGGGGCATCGCTTAGCTTGTGTGTTCGTCAAACCACTGAAATAGAGCGGAGCCATGCTGTTTGTACCAGCAGGCAGACGTTTCAAAGGTTACCTACATGCCGCGGAGTTCGAAACCCAGCCAGCGAAGCAATTCCGACTGGCTCTACGGATATCAAACTTGCATTATCCTGCACACACTCGCGTCTCGTGACACAGGTACTACGCAGACCCTGAAGAGCAGTTCTTGAAGGGAAACTGCACATGCGTAAGACCCGTCGCGGATACCGTAGATTCGACTTTCGGCATCAGCACTAACGACTGGTACAGCGGAATCGACGACGGCGAAACCACGTCGTCATCCGAGGCTGCTCTAGAGGTGTGACCTGAAACGAATTTTCAATCGATCGTGCGTCGTTCGTGTTTTCTTAGAAAACATGCGTACAATCAATGAAATACTACCCTCTCGGGACAAAATCACAGTCGAAGGGGATGTGTCGGAGTATTTTCTGCCGTGACTGCGCGCACTGTGGGTGTCTATCCTGTGTTTGATGCTGAAATTGGTCTTGTATCGTCTGATGAACGCACAAGTCGTCGTGAAGTGATGACCTAGAGCGCAGAAACGAGGGAGTGGCTGGGCTTTCGTTTTTTCAACAGTTGGCAAGTCGTTGGTTGCCCTGTTGTCTGCCGTGGTGGTGTCAACATATTGAAGAGTGTTGCTTGTGGCGCTCAAATGAAGTGGTATCCGGTAGATGTTGCTTGGAGTTTATTGTGGTTGATTGCCATCGGCTGTATCCTGTGGGTTGAATGGATGCTGTTGGTCTGATGGCCTTCAGGGTGTTCTTGCAGCGCTCTCAACTGACAATGGTCGAGCTGACGGTGCGGGCTGCTGCTGAATCATGATGCAGTCAACGTGTATCCCCCGTCCTGCACTATCGATACCCCTCACTCTGTTCCAAGAACAACCTTCTTCTCAGTTCCACCGCTCCTGCCAGGGGAACTTTGCCAAGACGGAGGCAGTCAGGGTCCCTAGACTCCTCAGAATCCCTTTCCGGCAATGAATGGTGAAAGTCTTTTGACTGGTTATCATGTTTTTTGGACAACGTGCTCGGAGTCTTACCGGTTCGGTACTCCCAAGGAATGCCGTAGTTGCAAACCACACTTCCCGATCAGGGTACATACACGAGGCACAGGAAAGAAGCAACGCGACGGCTTTTCTTTCTCCCATCGAACGCTGTCCTATTCCCGTCTACCTAGCCGCGGAGAGTGTGTCCAACACCTTGCCGGCGCTACCCCCTACATTCACATCGCTGAACCAAGGCTGAGTCTTGTTCAAACGTACACGCAATCTCGCGCGATCTCGCCTCTCCGCAGGATGCGTCGTTTTGCTCGGCCTGGAATTGTCGCGAAAAGCGATACACACAGGTATGACCGGGCTCTAGTACGTATTGCGCATTTGTAGAGAGATGGCAAGCATCTCTACGCTGGTGAAAAGTCACTGGCCCGACCGGTAATGGGAGCCAGAGCGGGAACAACACTTTCCGAACCTATGTTCAACTTTGATCAACGACTGATGCTACGGTAGGGGGGGTCCACGTTTGGGTGAAATCTTTCCCTTCCAGGAGAAACGTGTTGTAGGCTTGTTTTGGTAGTCTTTCGGCGAAAAGGGATGCGGCCAGCCGGGCTACATAGACAGTGTTTCCCTACCCAAAGTCGTGAGTCGGGGTGACCTCCCTACCGTAGCATCACACCAACATGTACGCTGATATCGGTCACCTTCCGGTTGGTGATAGCTGTAAAATTGGATCTTGCCAGAAAAAAAAACTGCTTGTGGGTACCATGCGCTAACTCGCTGGGTGGAAATCAAGAAAATCGAAGCTACTTGCAGTGGAACTTGGTTTTGGATCAACTAGG